CAGATGAGAGCTCTCTTGGTTTGCCGTGTGGTACTTGCTGTGTTCAAAAGAGATTATTGTTTGTCTGTGATTACCTTCTGTAGCAAAGCTTTTACAAAAGTAAGAGCTTTTGGAAATGAGCAATGTCTGTTTTCTGTAGGGGTTTGTGAGTGTTTGTATAGTTTGGGTTTTGTATGGGTACCACGTTCACTAGATCCAGGGCAAATAGTGATGCCGAAAATTGCAAGCTATTCAACTGAAATATTCTAGATTCTTCTTTAACACAGCTAAAGCAAGCATGAGAAAGAAATGCAGACATGCTGCATTGTCGTAACACTGCTACTGGTTTGCTACACTCACCTTCTTTTATCCAGCAGCATCAGTATTTATCAAAGACCTAATTGCATATTTCTGCTAGTCAGTGTTTCATGGTTTGGTAGCTTGATAAATTGTTCCTAAATCTTAAAGAAACTCTCTTGCAAATCCTATTATCTAACGTAAAACTAAGGCCATAACTTCAGAGAAGAGGAAAAATCAAGTGAGCAGTTTTGATGTAACACTTCTGTGGCTTGAACTACAAGCAGAACTGAAACCTCATGTGGAGATTTTGTCTGTTTGCCTCACCCTGTAAGATGACCAGACAATTTATCTTCCTTATGTTGAATTTCCTACAGTGGAGTAAAAAATGCACACTTCACACACATTCTACAGGTATTGCTATCACACTGCCAGGATGGCACATTTGGAGTTGTCCTTGTGTCTGATCTCGATGATTTGGGGGCACTGTATAGGTGACAACTAAATGACTGGCTCATTTGCAGTGCCAGCTGGCTGCAGCACTTCTGCTGTGCTGTGCCACAGCCAGATCCATGGCTCTGGTGTTCCTATGAAATCTGTGCTGCTTTGTGCACTGCTCTGCTGGCCTGTGCAGTGAGGCTGGGTGGAGGTCACATGTCTTATTCAGCAGAGCAGGTCTGAATTGTCTGTTACCAATGTAGTAGAACTACTAATTCCAGTGATGTTGGGTATGTCCTTTGCCCTCTATGCTTTCTTTGGGAAAAAGGAGTTGTTTGGGTTTGGTTTTTTTCTTTTTTTTTTTTCCCTAGTATTGACTGCTACTAGAAAAGCTGATGTTTTCCATCACATTTGGAGCTATTTCTGAGATACTCTAAGTGATGAATTGTTGTCACTAACAGTGTTAGTGCTTTTTCACCTCTTGCTGCCTACTCTCCCAAATCATGCATCTGGGGACTGTATTTTAGTGCTTGAAGTGCTGAGAATATGTGAAAAATATCTGAGGAAGGGGACACTGAGCTGATCACTTTTATAATGAAAAGGCTTGGAGTGTATTGTGCATGTTAAAGTGGGACAGTGTTGTATTGCAGATGCTTAAAATAAGAAAAACAATAGACAAATCTTACCTGGTAACAAGATATGCAGAATGTAGAGGGTTCTTTTACAGAAGACAGCTCTGTTTGCTCTTTAGCTTCAGGGGTATGGTGTTGGTTCTGCACTTGGTCTGGTCACAACAGCAAGTTAAGTTCTGAGTTTAGGACTGGTTTTAGCACAGAACAAAGTGTATATGTATTCCAGTGGCTTTCACTTTGCCTTCCCTTTGATGAAACCCGTTGTGACAGAAAGTGCTAGATGCTGGCAAACAATCCTGGGGTTTCAAAGCAGCCAGACAATAAACAGCTCTGTAATATTCAATGCAGCAGCTTCTCTAGAGCCCATCTGTTTGAAAATAACCCCAGTTCTGCTTACAAGGCAGAGTACTTTGCTGGCTGATGTTTGTCCCCATTTCCACGTGGCCGGGGTGGTTCTGGTGCCATCTCTTGGGAGTGTCCTGGATGGTAGGAGCCCAAACCAGTGCACCTTATGGTGTAAGGGTCTGTCTAACATCTCATTATTTAATCATCTTCTTGTATGTTAATAGAGTCATCTGTCCATGGTTACAAGTGCGAGCTTAATATTGCAAGCTAAGAGGTGCCCTCTCTCCTTCTGTTTAATTTCCTGAGCGAGGAGAGAAGCAGAGACCCACTTGGAATTGTCATCCTGGGCATCCTTTACGGAAACCAGTCCCTCTGCATGGGCTGGACTTGCATTGTTTGATGAAGAAATTGCTCCTCAAGCACCTCCCTCTGAATTGCTTAAAGGAGTTGGGTGTGTAAGTGTGTCTGGCTTCCTTGCTTTTCACAAGATGATGATCAGATCTTTCCGAATGAAAAAGACATGGCTTAAACCTAGATAGAATCAGCTCTTCCCTCTTTGCTGACATCTCTTTCTGACAGTCACACTGGTTGTGTGACTGGAGTTGGTTCTGGTGGGCAGGGCACTTCTGGGCTGGCCCATGCTGGTGGTTCAGTGTAATGTGAGCTCTGAACGTCCACAGCAGAAACTTCTGCTGTTTGTACAGCAGCGAGAGGTGCCTGTGTGGCAACATCCATGGCACATGGAATAAAACTAATAAAACAAGTATTATATTTTGTGTTGTGACTATGCCTTATATTTTCCAAATACATCATGCAGTGGGTATAGTAACAGAAGCCAAAGTTTTTTAATATTCATGTTTTCCTCAATTTTACCTTTTTTCAAAACAAGTGTGGTTTAATTGAACAGTGGTCAAGAATACTAATCTACTGCCAACCTGATGGTCCTGTAAGAGTACTCAGTGTAGTAGTACTTAATTAGAAATAATCTTTTACTTGCAAATGAGTTGATACAAGTAAGTGCTATTCAGCATCAGTTCAGTGATGAAATGAAAGTTCAGGGTTTACTTCATAAATGTCTCAAATACAAATCCAGAAGACACATTGAAATATTTATTAAATTCCCTTCTGTTATCATAAAGTCTGTAAGGAAGTTTTGGGCATTATCAGTTGTTGTAAGTTAGTAGTACTTAGAATTGCATGAGAACAGAAGAGAAATATATTTGTACTGCAGAGTTAAGTCTTTGATTTGCAAGACTTGGATCCAGTAAGACAGTCTTAATTTCTTGCATTTATTGTTGGTTGAGTTTCTTATGTGCTGTCTCTGTTTATGTAGAATTTAGAATGTATTTTATTGTCCTAAATCAGAAATACTATTCAATGAGGTCTTTACAGATTATGTGTATCTGCTGTATCAGAATTTCAGGAATTTCAGAATTGAGATGGTTGTGTGCAATATGTTAATTACAAAAATTAAAGCAGGTAACAGAATTAAAGAAATAAGCCAAAGTTTTTCTTAAGAACCAGGAGAACTGGGTGCAGAATTTTCGGTGCAAAGTCTCCAATATTTAACAAGGTATGGGTAATAGTCTCATATAAAGGGATAGAGTGACAGGATGGAGCATCTCAGTGTTCTGTATTGACAGAATGCAGTTCTAGTTCACAATAGAATTAATTTTAAAATATGCTATGTAAGGGTTAATGTTTTGTTCTAACTTTGTTGTGCTATATCCTTTGGTTTTGTCTGTCATCTGGTGTTTTTGCAGTTTTCCAAATACTTTAAATACAGTCTTAAAATCCATTAGTCTTGACATTTTTTTGCTGATGTGCTGAAAAGCCTGTGTTTGATTCTTGCTCAGACATCAGGTGGTGTCTCAGTAGTAGCAGTGGCCTAATTACCATTTCTGAACACTGTAGCTTATAAATATTTTGGTAAGAAAAGGTGTTATTTCATTAATATTTCTGCTGTAATTAAAAAAAAAAAGGTGTCAGGGAACTATTTTAGGTAACATGATAATTTAAATATATACATACAGATGCAAATACATGTATTTGAACCTTCACATCCAGACAACTTCACTCCTCACCGTATTTTTTGATATAAAATGAGATCTTTTCTTGAATATAGAGCTTTTCAAAATGTATTGTCAGTCTTTTATTTTTCAGTCAACATATAAAAGAGCATTTTGCATCTTTTTTTATAGCACCTAATTCTGTTCCTAGTGGTAATTAAAGCACATGTATATTTGAAAGGTTGAGCATATTTTATGGGGACTCTGCAAGTATACACTGTATAAGTTGTATCTGTTTTCTTACATAACAATTAACCAAGGATGTAAAAGAAATGTTTTCATAAGAAACCTCATATTTAATTGAAAATTTCACTACTGAAAAGAATTTTTTAAAACTGCAAATGTTTTCATAATTATGATGATTTAAAAAAAAGTTTATCCAACTTTAGCATTACAAGGGAGTTTTGACCCTGTGTGGTGCAGGTGCAAGTTTAAGAAATACTTAATGTTACAAAGGCTGGTTTATTATCTTTAAAGCTAATTTGCTTGTCCTTAACACTGTAATTATGCTCAGGAGGCAGACTTTGATTTTTGTTTCCCAGAGCTCCTCAGCTGAGCTGGTGTGTGTAACCACAACCTTGGAATAGTTTCTTTGCTCGGTGACTTTGTGTGAGTTCTGGAGAGCTGCTGGAATAGCCTGTTCTTGCCTCCTTTTGGGGTGCCAGGGCAGAGAACTGTCAGTGCTGGTGTGCTCTTGCTGCTCAGATTATTTTGCTTACAGTTCTGTCTGAATGAGCTGCCACGTGTCCTTTACTTCTGAAACTGCTGCCAGCTGAGGATGGGAGCTGTACGTGCATCTGGTGTGGGTCTGCACATGATGGACTCGATGCTAAAAGCAAAAACAAAAGCTTATTTTGCCAGAAGTAACTGCTGAGGACATTTAAGTAGTTTAACAATCTGGAGTTCACTGTGTAAAGCAGGGATCATAAAAATGTGAATACTTGTTAATACTTGTTAGATGTTCCTTTTGGTTTGGTTTTTTGGTTTGTGTTTTTTGATTGGTTTGGGGTTTTTTTAGGGGGTAGTGGTGGTAGTTTTATTGTTTGTTTTTTCGTTTTTTGCTTTTTATTTGACTTTAAGAGCCGTTGCTGGAAGTTGTAATTGCCCTGAAACCATCAGAATTGAAAACATTCGACTCCCCGTTTCCTTTGTGTTGTGGTGCTTTTGGCTTACAGGATATATGTGCATTTTTCTCGTATTACATAACCAAATAACAGTTGTTTTTCGCTGTGTCTTGTAGATTTTGGTGGAGCAACATCTAACAACGAGCGGCGGCCGTACGGGTTTTGGTTCCCACCTGAGCGCTCCGAGGAGGAAATCAGAAGGCAAAGGCTCCGTAGGTTTGAGAGACGATGAAATGGCCACGTGTCCGTGGGAATTGTGAAGTGCTCTGCAGAGTTACCAAAATACTTGCAGATTCATTTGTAAGCTGCAGTTTACAGATTAATTTATGATCTTTCTTCCACTGTTTTTACTGCTGCTCACAAAGCTGCAGAGGGTCTTGTGAGTTCAGGCTCAGAACTGGAACTTGAACAAAAAGTGTGAGGTGGGAATCAGAATGTGATCTTTGGCTGTCTCCATCTTAATGCACCTTAATTATGGAACGAGACTGATGGTTTTGCCAAACTGTCTTTTTATTCCTTAAGTTATTTTGTGTAGCTCTAAGAATTCCTTGGCTTTTTGACTGCTGTTGTTCTCAGACAACAAGTTTTCTTCATCCGTCACAGCTGAAACATTGAATTTTCTATGTAACTTTAAAACTATGCAATTTTTCATTACAAGCCTTTCTCCATTAGCCATGATGACCAACTTTTTGGGGGTTGGCATGTGAAATGGCACTTGAAAAGATCACTTTGATGACAATGGCTAGATCATTTGAGTCCAGGCTTAAGCTTTTGAGCAGTCTTCCAAACTGTGTGAAAAATAGCTGCAGCTATCCCTACCCTGTGGAATTATTTCATAACAACCTTTAGTGTTGCAGTCTTCCTCAAAACACACCATTTTACCTTGAGCTTATATGTGATAAAACTGAGTTGTAACTACTTATGATTTCCTAAAGCCTTTCTTAATCTTTAAATATTAAATATTCTTAATATGCTTTAAATCAAAAAGTGCTGCCCTTTACAGAACTGAAATAATTTGTTAGGAGTTTTATGGAAAGGGAGGTGGATATGCCATACAAAGAATATATTTATGTAGTAACATACTTTTCTAAAGCATCTGTTTCTCTAAGAAGGCTTGGAAATTGTATTGTGTATGTGCTGTTCATCCAGCTTTGGAAATTCCACTATTTATTTATCTTGTTTGAAGACCAGTAGCAGAGGTGAGAGTTTGCAGGCTTGTGGAGACCATGCCTAAATATAAGCTACCTTGAATTCCTCATTTTCTAGGAAGAAATTCCCTACCTAGCTAGAGGAGTTGATCGGAGAGCTGAGAGTTCTGTTGTCCCCTTGGGCAGACCCTCCACCCAGCAGCTGTCCTGCCTGTTCAGCAGTGTTAACTAACAAACCTGCAGGGCTTTGCTTCCAGGCATTTTATCTTCACAATGGAAGAATTTCTTCCTGTTTGCAGTCCTGGAGAAGTGTGATTGCCCAAGAATAACTTGGTTATTGGTACAGACCTATTGGAATCTCTTCATCAGCACTGGTGTAGTAGAGCATTAGGATGAGCAATTTAAGGATTTCACCAACCTGTGCTTTATGAAGTCTAATTTTCTACAGGATTGATCACTTGAATGTATAAAACAGTGCTGTATTTTTGATACAGTAAAATAACCTGAAAATAAATTTTTTTACTGTGTTCTTTACATAAATAATACAACTTCAGTTTGTAGCTGATGTATGTAGGGAAAGCTTTCGTTTGCTGAGGAATGCACAAGCTGTTCAGTTCTGGGATGCAGACTTTGGCCATGACTGCAATGTGAGTTTGGGTGTCTTGTTCAGTAGTGTAAGAACACTGTTAATATTCTGCAAAGGGCTTTCTGGCAGATTCTAAGGCACTTAGTACGTATGGAATGTTAATTTTTGGTGCTTTTGGGCTTGGTTGTTTTTGTATATATGCAATAGCCATAGAATAAAACAGCACATACTTTTATGGAAGGCCAACTTTTCTGTGCTCACCAAAAATAAGTATCAAAAACCTACATATTTTTCTCAGCAGGTGGATAGAAATGAGAAGGAAGTAGCATTGGTTCCTCAGACAAATCTTTTAATGCTCTGGTCAAAAGTTTCAGTGTGACTCACTGTGTCTGTTAAGTTCTGATATTTAACTTATTTAAAACCACTGGATTAGCCACTTGTCAGTTGAAAAATACTTAGAGAAAATCAAAAATCTGATTACAATGGTATAAGCACTTGTTTTTGTGAAGTACAAAAATTTTCAGTACTAATAATTGTTCATTGTTCTGACCTTTTTGTATGTAAAATTGAAATAAATATTTTTTTAATATTTAAAGCTGTTTGGTTTTAATTGTAGTAATTAATAAGGTGTATATTTTAAATTACAGAGCTGCTGCCATGTTGTTAGAAATTGTGATACCAAGGGGGCAGATGGATTGTGTTGGGACTAATTTTGTTTCTTTTTTATTTAGTGACAGTTTGGGAGTTAGATTATTGAAAAGTTCCAGTACTTACAGTATTTTGGAAAGTTTATTAAACAGCATGATTCTTGCTCATTGCAGGGGGTTGAACCACATGGCCTTGAAAGGTCCCTTCTAACTCAGACTATTCTGTGATTCCTTAGTAGGATTTTTACCATGAAAGCTCCCACAAGTTTAGGTTTTGGAGCACCAGTGAGGGGAGATGTAGCAGATGAATCCCTGCCATATGCTCTGCTGCACTTCATCTCTTCGGGGACAAAAATTAAGGGCAATCTCCACAGATGGGTGTTCCATGTTGCATGTTCTCTGGCACTATTTAGTGCCTGATTAAGCCTCAAGTAAGGACTTTTTAAGAAAATGTAGCTTTGTATAAAATATTTTAGCGTCTGCAGTCTGATTCCTTTGTTGCAGGAGCTGTGATTTCTTGCGAGATTTTGTATTTCCTCTGAACTCTGTGATCAGGTACCATGTAAGAAATTCCACCCCCTAATTAATCCTAATCAGCAGACTTGTTAACAGGCACATTCTTGAAATTTAATGGTTGAACGACCTAACATATTATTGTTAATAAATAGAGGTTTCTTGCTGTCCAGAATTAAGATGTGATGAAAGAACTGTGTTTAACTTTAAAATTCTTTTTCCTCTTCCACCTTGTCTTTAAGCACAGGCAAATTGTAAAAAGTGAAAGGGAGACTTTAACTCTTATCGCTGATAAAATTTGTTCATAGCACAGATAGGCAAATAAGGAAAAAAGAACCTAAATACTGATTCATTAAATTAGTGATGGAATGATGATGTGTCTGGGTAGAGAAAAAAATTCTTTATTAAAGCAGACCTTACTAGGTTTTATGCTAAAAGAAAAGAGGGAAGAGAGCATACCTGAGAGAGGTAAAGCCTTTGTTTTTTAACTATATATTAAGAAGCTTAAATTGCCAGTGATTGATGAAGCAGCTGTGAGCATTGTCAGCCCAAGGCTGGACCACCGAGGGAAGAACAACTTGCCTCTTCTGTGATGACAACATGAATGGGAATGCCTGCAGGACAAAACTAACTTTCTTTGGTCATCCTTTGCTCTCTTTAATTATGAACCTCATATGTGACAAGTGTATACACTGTTAATATAAAAATGAAGAACTGTTGAACCTTTGAATCTGCTGCTTGTGCCTGGACCTGGCACTCAATAGGTGAGAGTGTCTGAAGATCACACAGCAAGTCGGAGTGAAACAGTGAATGAGTGACTTGGGAAGCAGTTTGGGTACAGCTGCCTTTGCTGTTGTTGTGAGGTGATGGGAAGGGGTGTTGCAGTTCATTTTCACTTCTGGTTCTGGGGCTGGTGAATTGTAACCAGTTTTGTTTAGCACTGAATGACTAAGTGTGAATCACGCTTCCGCACAACAGCTGGCGAACAGATCCTCATGTTTATGTGCTGTGGCTTCTTGAGTGTGCAGACATGAAGGATAGAATCATCTTATGGTTTTATTACAAGCTTCTCATTGTTTCCTACATATGAAAAAAAAAAACCAGTTATTTCTTATTTGTTACCAGATTTCAGAGGGCAAGAAAATATTAACACTGCTGAGCTTTCAGTTGTAGGAGCTGTTTCTAAAGGAGTATCAAGCTTTCTAAAGGGTCTTACAGTGAATACTGATATCCATTTACTTTTTCAGGAGCTGTGAAAACTGGAGACAGTTTTCCATACAAATCTAATGTGGTTTGGGTATTTTTGTTTATATGATGTGCTGAGATTGGTAAAGCAGCTGGGTTAGTAAAAGAGAAGATCAAAGATACATACGACAGCAGTCTTCTGCTGCACGAGAACAGTGGTAAACTTATCTCTCTTGTCCATTTACAAGCAGCAATTGGCCTCATTTGCTGCAAAATGTGTGTAAATGAAGGTTTTCTAAACATGCAGATAGTGAACTTTCCTAATAGGCTGGGGATATTCCAGAATTTCCTTCTTCTCTCTTTTTGGAGCCTGTTAAACAAAAGTATCTCCTCATGGCTGTTGGGTAGGTCAATAGTAAGTGTTCTTTTCCCTAGTGGAGAATGTTGGATTAGGTTAGATCCTTCACCAAAACATTCCTTACAGGGACCATTTAAGAGCTGTTGGTGGGTGGCCACTTCTGTGAATTCCTATTTTCCTTATCCACCTAACAAGGAAAGGAGCAGCACCCAAATCTGTACAATATTAATGAATATGGAATGACCTGTTTGCTGACTTTTAAAAATTTTATCTTAAAGGAAGTATTTATGTATGCAGTTCTGCAGCTGAGAAGACTGTTGTTCCATCATTTATGCAGAGATATAACCTGTCTGTGGCCAAAAGTTCTATAACATTTGGTACCACTTATTGCATCTATTTCACTTTTTACATGCATCTTAAGTGTTCAAGCACAATAAAATTAAAACATTCTGAAATACTAACTTGCTTTGTAGTTTTCAAAATGCAAAATGCAGAGTCTAACAGATTACAGCTGCAACTGCCTCAGAGTAGCCATTTTTAATTTCTTCAATTCCCATCAGAATTTAATTGATTTCTGCCTCTGAGAAAGTTTAATCTCCACTTTAATGAAAATACCTCTGTCTTCATCATGCTGAACTGTGTAAGAAGGAACATGTGTCTGCAATAGGAGCGGTATTTGTCATCAGTGCGTGGAAGACTAAATTCTGGAAAAGATCTTGTTTTTCTGTGTACTGAAACTTTGTTTTGCCAAGCTGAACATGATGTCAGTTTGAGTGCTTCATTCCAAATCTTTCTATAAACTGGGAGTAACACACAGGGATTTATCTCTGTTGGGCAGCTCACCCTGCACATGAAGTTCATCAGGGTGGTTCCTTACTGTGTCCCTTCCTTTAGGACTTGGTTGTTATTATTTTGTGTCACATTTTCTGCGTTTCTGCTCCCCTGGATCTGTGGAAAACATTAAAATATGTGGAATTTCAAATCCCATGAAACTCAAGCCTGTCTCCTTTTGTGAAGCACAAGGTGAGCTTTGCTGTGAGGTGCTGTGAGCTGCTGAAGGCTGGCTGTGTCATACTGAGGAACTATGTTTGTTTAATGCAGTCTCACTGGAATGATAAATATGGAGTTGTTTTTACTTTACACTTATAAAATATCACCTCTAATTGAACTTCCAGTACCTTCTGGAACATCTGGATGAAGTGGCTAGGAAAGGGGAAAGCTGTTAAGTATGAATATGGAGCAGCATCTGTTGGAGTGCTGATGGTGATTTTTTTTCTCCACCTGGCTAATTTTCCAGCTGGTTCGGGTGGGCAGAATTTCAATGCCTGGTTTTGTTGTTTGGTCAGTTTAAAATGCTGATTTCTGAAATCAGATCCAGTCATGAAACAGATCCCCAGTTTGATGAAGCAATTGCCTCACCTGCTGGAAAGATCTTACCAGAGTTGTCAGAATATTCTTATTGTTTTGGAGTGAAGGCTGGTGGGCTCTGTCCTTGCCTGACTGCTGCTCTTCACAGCTGGCTTTGGAAAGATCCTTTTTCTTGCAGATAACTGTTCCCCATTACAGATCCTCCCCACGGTCTTGAATGTTTTTTTTCTTTCTTGCCCAGTTCTAATGTAGGTCAAGCCTTAGAACAGGAGTCCTCATCTGCACAGCATTTTTCTGTGTATGGCCCACTGAATTTCTGTGTATGGCCCCACTGGATCTTTATCAAACAAGTGAGCAGCTTGGGGTAATGGATAAAAGCTTTGCTTTATTTGTGTTAAATACATGCTAAAAATGTATGGACTGTATGCATTCATGTTTTGACTGCATTGATACTTTTGTTTTTCTTTGGTGCTTATGAACTAGCCAAAGTAGGAGAGAGTTTTTTGGTTAAGGGTTTTACCCTGGAAGAATTCCTGATAAAATCAGTGGTGTCTGATGTCAGTTCTGCTTTTGTCTCTCTCTCCCTTTTGACACACTTTGTATACACCAAAAGATGACATTCAAGTGACATTTTCAGTATTAAGTTTGTGTATCTCCTTCCTTGTCTTATGAAAAACACCAAATGAAGCAAAAATGGCTGTATTTCTTAAGAGCAGAACAGGGTTCAGGGTATTCAGTGTTTTAACTCCACCAGTTATGGTCTAGAAATCCTGGTGTGAGGGAGAAAAAGCTGCCACCTGCCCCGAGGATTTACCAGGAGGCAGAGCCAGGCACTTTCCCTGCTCCCTGGCCACACAGAGGCCATGGTTTGCCAGGGTGGGAAAGTCTCCTCATTGCAAATTACTGGTTCTAAATTGAGTTCCAGGGCAGTTCACCCCAAATGGCTCTAATTCCAATGACCTCCCAGTGTAGCCAGCATAATTTTCTGTGTTGCTGTTAATATCCTGCCTGCTGTTTAGGGTAAAATTCACTTCTTCACTGGGCCTACACAAGATCCAAAGCTCTGGGATGCAATAGGAAGGGTAAATTGGACTTTAAGGATTAGCACAAGGCTTTTTGGAGTTTTTACTGTTTTTTCTCATAAATAGTTTCAGCTCTGCCTTTTCACACTTAATTTCATAATTAGGTTCCCTATGAATAATTTACCACATATTTTTCTGCTTATAGTCACTGGACAAATGATGGCAAAGTTAAAGCATCTGCTGCTTTATACTTTGGTCTGTCTTACTTGCTGTGGAATACTAAGCCATTTATCTGCAATTTCATTTTGAATTAGTACAATATTTTTGACAAATGCTTTATGGAGTCAGCTGAGCATGAAACAGGGATTTGCACACCTATGAAATATTTGATACATCAGTGGTAGCTTAAAAATACATCTCTTATATTAGCACCATGCTCTAACTAACTGAGCTTATAG